TAATGATAAAACACCATCATATAATGACAAAATACCATCATATAATGACAAAGTACCAGCGTATAATGAAAGTTCTCCACATAAGGCAGTTACGGCGTTCCATAAATATTCTAAATATGAAACAGATCATGCGTAGACTCTGTAGTATTTAGTCAAATGAGTCGGCAAACTACGTTTATCTTCAATATATTTTATGGCTTACTCCTCACAGGCACCTGGTTCTACCTCTAATGATTTGTGCTGTCCGTCTTTGCTCTTCTCCCAGTTTGTATTTCCTCGATGGACTTTTGAGCTTGGTTACTGTTCATTTTCTCCATATTTCATTAACGGTCTGCCAGAGATGGGACCAGTATGGAATCAGGATCAGGAAGGAATCAGGTGCTTCAGATAAACTTATTTCATGGTTTGGTTTCTAGATCATGTATTTGTATAGTTTTGTATGGTCTCTATTGCCATTTAGCAATTAATATTCTATATTCCACACTGAGAATTGGTTTCTAGATCATATATTTGTATTATTTTATATGGTGTCTATTGACATTTAGCAATTAATATTCTGTATTTAATCAATGCATACACAATTGTGAAAAGTATTATTAAAGAAGGACAACTCCTATGCAGCATATTAGTCCCTATAGAAAGTTATCGCCAGTCGTCCTGTTGTCAGAACGTTTGAAATAAGGAGATATCAATCCCCATTCCATCTCTCTGTATTAATAACCCATCCCTGTGCGTGGTGGAGAAACAAATCTATAATTATTTATTTAGAGAGCATTAAAAATAACCAGTAAATTCATGCATAATAATATGGTCTTAGGTAATGTTAGCACACTAGATTAAGTTCAATAAAATCTCTGTATGACAAAAACAAATTAGGGTGAATTGGTCCCCATTGATAATATCTGAAGTTAAATGATAAAACGCAATGTTCTACCACACTGACAAAGATGCATTCACCATTCCAATTAAATGAGTTCTTAATCTGAATGTTCCTTTACAAAATTCAGAGATGCAATAATACAAAACAAACAAGAACTAGCCATTAGCCAATTCAGTAACTAAATAAATGGGAAGAAAATAATAATGATATGTGGAGTCATTTTAATTAAACCATACAGGATTTACTTACATGTACTTTTAATTTTATATGTCTTGTGATATTTTTAAATGATTTCTGATTTTATGATTTACCACATAGCAGTAGTATTTAATATGGTTTCTAGTTTCCCATCTAACTAATTTTTCTTTAGCAAACAACAGCCTTACTACAATAAATCACATATTACATACTTTCTTGTCACTGTTCACTAACTTTAAGCTGCTGTGTTTTATTGAAAATGTTTAACCCATTGAATGATGAAGAAAAAAAAAATAATTGGCAGATGTCAATCATTCTTGCATTCGTTGTTAAAGTAAATCTTTTTGCTTGTTATATATAATTGAAATTTATGGAGATAACGAACAGTAGTCAAGCTCAAAAGACCATTCAAACAATACAATATTAATGAAATAAATGGAGAACAAATTCAGGTGCAGAGTAATCATGGATCCGCTTCTTATAACATCAGAGGTGGGATCACGTGCCCTGGAGGAGTGAGCATCCCCTGCCGACCGGTCTTACCCGCCGTGTGCTCCTTGATATTATGGAAAATTACTTATGCGTCGACAATTCAGTTTGTTTATAATGGCCTAAATTTATATGAAAAAAGTCAATCAGCATTTGACGTAATGATATAGACGTAACGTCAGGAATTGTTACTAACAGGAAATAATACGTTTAATCCGTTTTCAGCTTACATTTGTAGTACAGTCTTGATAATAAACATGTAGAGTTTTATATATTGTTTTTGCTGATAAAATTACTGTGCCGAACATAGAACATAAAATGACTTTAAGCGAGACTGCTGATTTTTCTTGATTTCTTAAAAACTTGTTTATCAATAAATATTTACATCCACTGAATATTTTCTTTATTTCTTAAGAAAACCCATTGCGTTAATCACTGCATGAACTACATTAGGCATGTCGCCTGTACAGATTTCTTGATCAGTAGCTGTTCCATCAATGAAACGTTTAAAGACGTTTGCATCATTAATACAATAATTAATCTTTTTAATCCTACTTTAAATGATTATTTAAACAGATATAAATATAAACAATAAAATGTCTTTCTTTGTTTGTTATCACTGGAATTAACGGTCGCAGCTATTGCAGAAAAAAATCTACATAACCCGCTTACGTTATTGTTTAACTAACCTTGTAGAAATTGTTTATACGTAGAGCATGCTCTTGCAAATCAATAATCTCCGTATGCAGGTGATTAGGGTATACTACGCATAAGTAAGGGAATTTGACGATTGAGTTAATATCATTACGTTTAACTTTGTTCTTAGGTTACCATTAACGTCTACTTTGGTAAAATATCCAAATGTGAAAAAATGTGAAACAGAAGTGTCATATTTTGTTGTATCTTTAATTTGAAGCTCTCTAGGATATATTGTGTCTATATATGAATGGAAAAAATTATTGTTAATTGATAATACGTCCTCCATATATGCATATCTAAATGTCAAGTTGAAGGATACAGCTGTTTCCATCTCAGCATGTATGTTTCATATTTGATAAAAATAAATCTGCCAACAAAGGGGCGCAATTAGTATCGATGGGAATTTCAACAGATGTTTGAAGACCTGGTCTCAAAAAACTACAATTATATTGTCCATTAGAAACTCAAACATCTTTTACTTTTCAACTTCGGAGTAATTGTGTGTACAATCAGAATGTATAACTATTAGCTGTATTCAGACGCTTTCAATTTCATTTTAAAGAAGTGAGTTCAAATCTACTAAAATGGATTGATATAGCCAAAACAGCTTTTTACTCTTTTACTAACCTTTTATCTGTAAAAGTTTCCTCCAAAGAAGCTCTTTGCTAGAATACATATGAATTAACAAGAAATATTAATCAAACAAATATATCTCCCTTAACCATCTCTTAAATAAACATACATTTTCTACTTGTCACCCACTACTCTTCGCTGTATGAATTTTGATCATTGATATATTTTTTTACCAAAATGTCTCCAATTTATTGATATGAAATGTATGGAGATAACGAACAGTCTTTAAACTCAAAAATCCATAAAACAATACAAAATAGGAGCAGAGCATACACGGACTTTCAAAACATCAGAGATAAAATACTCTGTTTTACAAATTGAAACGCATTGGACTTTTATCTGATTAACAATAAATTATCAAAGCCAACATATGAATAAAGTTCGGTGAATACATCATTTTGTTTCATGATCCCACCTCTGATGTTTTAGAGATCCGTGTTTGTTCTGCTCCTGATTTGTATTGATCCTAAAGCTTGTTCGTTATCTCCATATTTAATTCTTATATATTTGTTGGCCAACATTTCATAACAATAAGAAAAAGGAGAACATTTTGATCTATTTATAAATCAATAAACTAAATTCGTTATGCTGTAAATTTTGAATTTGTCAGTTGACAGTAATTAAAACACTTTCGTCATAAAAACTTGTAGAAAACGCTTGAATATAAATTCTACATTAAGACACATATCTTTTCTTGGCCCAAAATATGTAACAATTTTGAAAACAAAGATAATTTTTCTCAAAATCATTTGATTTTGGTTTTGCTTAAAAACAGAAGACCGTTAGAAATAAAAGAAGGAGGATTAAAATATGTAATTTCATCTACTCAATTTTACCAAACTGTGTATTGATTACTCTTAAGACAAAATTCTCAAAGCATTTTAGAGGATGATTTCTCCTCCATGGCACCTGATCCCATCCCTGTTTTTGAAGGTATATTGTTCATTCTGCTCTTCTTTAGATGAACTTATGAACATGGTTACGGTTCGTTATTTATATATTTCATGAAAAAATATTGTAATTGGGTCCAGCTTTTACAAAATTGCTCGGCAGATATTCCATAAGACAATAGTGACTAAACGTCTACCGGTTCCAATAAAATACATAACCTTTAATCCAAACTCTGCAATTCTTCTTACAATACATTTTAACTGGCTGATCTATGAAATATTAATGTTTTTATAAATTAAAAAGTACGTATATTACGAGTTAAATACATAAATTTCATTAATTTCTGAAACGATCTTAATAAATGCAATGAAATAGAATTTTAGCACATCTTCCTTTTCTGCTTCTAAATATTGTCAATGCATGTATCTCTCTTATTTGCTCTGCTCCTATTTTGTATTGTTTTATGGACTTTGATATCGAATACTGTTCGTTATCTCCATATCCTTCATCCTTCTATAGGAAAACGTTGAAGGCTGGAAAATAAGGATAAAATCCGTACTCTGGGTATCGTAGGTTTAAAAATTTTAATTGGATTCAAGCTATTTGATATGGCAATTTTAATTAATAATTACTTAATTAAAAAGTTTCCAGAATTATTTGCCATACTTGTATGTTATCCACCAAGATGCTGTGATCCAAGAGCCTAAACAACTAAACTATTGTAAATCTTTGAAACAAAAACGTATACGACGAAGTATTTTCAATGAAAAGGCATTGTATCTTGATCTAAAAGTTTCGTTCGATACCTTGTGTTTCAACTGGATAACAGTTTTTAAATTGTATATTACATGTATTGATTATATGCGTTTAAAGCTTCAGTGCAAAGACACCTTGAAAGGAATAAAAAGAAGTTTTGTGGTTTAGTGAACAAGGTAAAATCAATGAAATATCAAAGAATATGCGATCAAATGCACAGGAGATCAAGTTAAATATTGATTTCTACATCACATTCTTATGTTTTCAACAAAGATTCAATAATTTCAGCCGAATAGAATTTACTTTCTGAACTTAAAAAAAAACTTTGGAAAAAAGTTTTAATTGACGCAGTTCTTGTAGAGAGAATATCTCAAGAGTGTTCTCGATCAAATTTATTTTACGTTAACTATTAAATCACTAATTACACCTGGGTCCTTGTTCATTTAAAACTCCTGTTATATTTAAATGCATTTAAATGGCCATATAGATTCTACACGGTTAAAAATAAAAATCAAACAGTGGTGGCTTTTAAATATAAATCTAAACCAATCAACTGTACTGTTTCTTGAGTGTTCTGTTCCCGATGTCACCTAGGCGACGTGACGCTACCTGCTCGATCATGGTATTTCTGACACACTAAGAAGAAAAAATAAAAGAACTTTGAAGAGGATATAAGAAAAACTGTGAAACTATCATCATGGCAGATAACGAGGTAGGTGATTGTAATAAACATACTTCTTACCGAGATAAACAAAGTTTAAATGCAATATAACAAGGCAGAGAGAAGTCTGCTTATCTAAGTTTGCTCCTAATTAAACAAAAAGTTTTATAAGCGAAAGTGCATTTACTCGGACAACCCCGAGTCCTTAAAAACTGACCACCTGAAAGTTTCTCCCGAACTTGTAACTTGGAACTTGATTTTGGTTCTTAATGTTATCTCTCAATATCTCTAGTAACTTTCAAATATACTGCTGATTGAATTATTAAAATCTTTAATAGGTAAGATATATACATAGATAAACAGAAAAAGTAAGCCTTAGCATAAATAATAAGACAATTCATTCGTCTTCAGATTTCTATTTTTAAAAAGTGCAACAAATGTGTTTTAACGCTTGTATCAATCAAACTGAGCAATTATATCATGGATTCGTAGTTTTATTTGAACAGGATAAAGACATTTAAATCTTTTGGTAAGGTTGTTATTAACTCGAATAAGATTTACGAGATATTTAAAAAGAATGTGTTCTCTAGATAGAATAATTATAAACAACAGCCTTTTGTGTAGCTTGTTTGGTGATTAAATTTTGGAGGCTTCTCTGTTTTAATCTGTTTTTTTTAATATATGCTTTGTCAATCTTGTCTTGTTCAAAGATAAGAAATATTTGTACGAAAGGTATCGTTCACAACATTATCTCTGAACCAATTCGCACATAGTTATACCTGACGAAATTGAGTTGCCTGTCACTTTACTTTAAAGATGGATAAGGAGGAGAAAGTTCCCCAAGAGGAGACGACTGATTCTAAAAATGAATCAGACGTAAAAACGGAAGAGACTCCTCCTCAGAAAGAGGAGCCAGCTCCTCGAAAGTCTATAGCGGAGGCCCCCACAGCGAAACCAGAGAAAACGGTACACAAAAAGGTTGAAATGAAATAGTCTAATGTCACGTGGTGGGGCACGCAGAGTAACAACTGTATCACAATACAGACTTGGACATGGATAAAAATTCCAATAAAACAACATTCTGCTTGCATTCTAATATTAATTTAAGTGTTATCGACTAATTAGCACTAATATTTTCAGCAGCTAATGACAAGAACTGACCGATTATTAAAATATTGCTAGGTCTGAATACTAGTAACCTTTAACAAGATGTATATTGAATTACAGGGTATAAAGGTGTCAGTTATTGGACTGTTATTTCACCACAACTTTATGCACAGCATGTAACATAATTGATCCATTGAATAAATATTTGGTGCATTAAAATTTTTGTTTTGCTATGGAAAATTGAGAAAACAAAAAGGTACGTGTCCCTCAACATGCTCAATTTTAAACAATTATGCTCTTTGTGAATAAATTCGTTGAAGCAGCCTGTTTACATAGCACTAAGGGGTTTTAACACGAAAGTAAACTGTTTTATATTAATCAGAAAATTTTGAGCACAGTCACGTTTAAAATGTTTGACAGAATCACAAAGCAGAAGTGTTTTTCTCTGTTTTAACAAGTGATAAACAATCAAGTCAATATTTATCTTTCATGTAAAGTAAATAGTTTATGAGAATGAAAAATATTAATGAAAAACAATGTGCATTTTTTTCACAATCAATGTTTTGTTGTACTAAGTTTTACATTTTTTCTTTAATCTTCATCATGATGCATGAAAGTATCATAGTGTAGATTCAAGATTGTTCAAATCATGATCCGCAGGGTATGGTGAGGCCATAATTTATGATTAAAGATTAATGTTTTTCAAATTTATTTTATTGAATAAATCAAAAGGACTCGAAAAAAAACTTACTGGTTCCTTATTAATACAATATGCCATGCAAAATAGTTTACAGAAATATATGATATTAACAGAAAAAATAGGTGAAATGTACATGTATATAACCAACGTCGCAAAATAAAATATATACATTGATCATACAGTGGGGAAAATCTGCTGGTGAAGAACAACAGTGGTTGTGGCTCAGGTGTGTGTTGTAGTCCATGGGCCTCTTGTTTTCAATTCGATTCGAGTTTATTTCGATTTTAGAAAAAAAGCTGCAAGTCATTTCTACGTGCAGAACCTCATGCAGACTTATTAATTTGTTTTTAATTATCCAACTGAAATAACTCAGATTCTTTATATCGATCTATTAAAAGGAAAAAGAATGGAAAAGAATGGATGAAAAGCGCTTGCTGCGTAACAATTACAAACTCATTTATACTGGAAACTAGCTAGAAAACAAGTACTAGTAATTACTAGATCAGTATCAAAACTCATTACCAGAAGTTCTATTTCCAGTCACAGAATAAAATGAAAATGTCTGCTAACTCTGAAAAACATATCCCCAAGAAGTACTATGTTTTATTAAAAGTAAAAGCAAAAGAGAAATCATAATAAATGATTATATGTTTTGTTTTTTTTTTTATTAAATTTCTTCTTTAATTTTCACTATCAATGGATTTCCAGGCAAAGTCCAAGACGTTTCAACTATATTAATTTTAATGAAAAATCCTAAAGGTGTTTGATTTCTTCATTAATAGCCCTGGTCGGTTTCTCACAATAAAAAGTTATTGATAATTTTTCGACGTATATTGTGTCAATTTCTCAAGTACAATGTTCTTTAAACAAGCATAGACAAAAAAGTTACCCTTCGAGTATTTTAGCGTCAATAAAATGTTAGAAATTTCCTCTTAGACATTCGGCCACAAAGTCATTGAAGTTTTGCAAAAACTTGTAATTGATAAAATGTTAGCAACTGTCAATAAAGACCTCAGAAAATCTAACGTCTGTTAAATACCCGACATCCAATGCCCGATTTATTTCCTATTACATGTACGCGTATTAAATTCTTCGTGCTAGTATTCAATCGGCTTAAAGAATTAATACAAGCAAAGAAACATGATTGACTTATTTTAAATAAACAACCTCAGATTTGTTAGGATACTTGATTTTTATTTATCAGTATTAATAAATTTTGTACTTTTATTGAATGATCGACATTGCACATACGCCATGACGTCATACCAGCAGGAGCAGAACACAGCAGACGACCACTCAGGTCTTTATAGAATATAGCAGTAATGTAAGTCTGGGTTGTTTTGACAGAAGGAGAAAGATGAGAAGAAAGAGCAGCAGAAGCCAAAAGAAGAGGTAGCAGAAGAACAGAAACACGAGACTGATGACGATGACAAAAAAGAGGAAGACACGGGTAAATATGTCACGTGACATCAGTGGACCAATACTGTCTCTGCATAATTAATTTGTAATTGTGACTCCATGCTTAATATCTATATACTAAATGGGATGTCGACAATAATCCGTAACATACCGAGTGACTCTAACTTATAACGAAAGTACTAAGTAAAATATAAATCTGTAGGGACAGTCCGTGTATATATATAGTCGGCTTCATACTAACAGTTCATTGGGAGAAAATTCATACATGCACTTTTAAATCCCAAGACGCTTGTCTTTGATTGAATAATAGGCAGTACAAGACTGACGTTTTATATTGAATTTCAGTTAAGCAAGTAATCAGTAGATGAATTATGCATGAAAAAATACTCATTTTGGAACCTAACCTAATGACGAAACCAACAGGCTTTGTCTGTTTATAGGTATCGACACTGCCTCTGTCATTTCAAATAAAAGAGCATAACCATTTCGACTGGTGAAAATTTATTTATTAGTTGTAATTCGTTGATAATTATTGGCCTTTTTTCTTGCTAAATGTAAAAAAAGGATTTGCTATTCTGTCTTAGAGAAATGCATCACGCATGCGTACTGGTCACTTGATTTCCAGCAATACTTTCAGATAAAAATATGACATGTGGAAAGGTAAATATATATTTCGTAGCTTTAATTGTAAGATAGTTAGCAATTAAATATCTCAATTATTCATTTATATCACGGTTGATGTTTATTTGTAAATCTACATGTACTAAGCCATTTCAAATATGTGATGATGATTAAAATGAATGTCTCGCTAACACTTCCAAATTCATCTAGCTTTGTGCACACCAATCATTGTTTTTATTCCAAAATTTGATTAAAAACAGGTACGCGTAAAGTAACTTTCGAGTCTCGTGACATAAACTCTGTCAAAGACTTACATAACGGAAGTGAAACAAAGGCAAGTGGTGCAGAAAATGATGTTAGGAACGCAGATAACAGTGAAACAAAGACAAATAATAAAATTCCAGATGATGAACCTACTGTACCTGAAAAAAATGACACTATGGACCTTGAGGATGTAAACAGTGATTCAGACTCAGAAAAACAAAAAACTGACAAAGAAAGTACACGACACAATTTAGACTCGAATACAAATCGAGAGGTCGAACAAAAATCAAATGTCAACAATTCAGAACCCGAACAGAAAAGGGGGGCGTTAGAATCAAGCACTTCTGATGATAACGTAAGAGACTCAAATGCCAGTGCAAAAATAGAAAATATAAAAACGGGGAGCGATTCAGAACCAAGTCAAAAAGAGGAAAATTCAGAACCTACGTCTGGAAATGAAGACACAAGTGAAAAGACGGAGAAAGCTGAGAAGTCGGAAACGAGCGACAGTGGTTATGTCCCTTTAGACAAATTATGGTCCAGTCCAAAACGGGAATTCAAAGGTGTACAGCGTGAGTATAGTTTTGAATACAGGAGATCAACATCGACTTCCTCCTACACAGCACCGAAAGAAAAAGAAGAAGAGCAAGCAAAGGAAAAGACTGAATCCGACAAACCAAAACCAGACATAGAAGAAAGCCAAAAAGAAAACAATGATGATTCAATACAGACTGATAACAATAAAGTGTCTTCTCCCATTGATTCTAGGGGAAAATACGTTAATGATAGGGACAGAAGTGAATCACTCGACTCTAGTGACAAACATGAAATCAAAGAAAAAAATGTGAAAAGTGATAATGAAAGTGCAAAGGAAGTGACAGAAGAATCGAAAAAGCCAGAGAACGGTGAGTATCACAAAGAGCCTTCTCCAAAACAAGAAAAGCAACCAGAGTCAACAGAAATATCACAAGGAGAAGACTCAGAACGTAGAGATGAAAAACAAACTGAAAAGAAAGAGAAAGATCAGGAACTTAAAGCTGAACAGCAAACTGAAAAGGAGAAAGATGAGGACGACTGGAGATTCGATGACATAAAATCGTCAGACGAGGGATCAGAAGAGGCACGATCTGACGATGAACATATAGAACAGGATAAAAATAGAAATGTAGAGGAAATAACAATACCAAAGGCTGAGAAAGATGATTATGAAGAGGAAAAGTTTGAATCTGAATCCGATGATAATATATCAGTGGAAGACACCACGCCCTATAGGGAGGAACACAAGGAAGAACCAAAGAGTGAACCAAAGAAAGAACCAGCAAAGCAGTCCAAAGAACCAGCAAAGAAACCAAAATCACAACCAAAGAAAAGACCCCAGCCTTCTCCCTCTCCAAGACCTTCCTCTCAACCAAATAGGAACCTGCAGAGGCCGGTCGCTAAAAGTGCGCAAGTGACAGGTCGAACTTCCGATAGTCGACGAGCTTTGTCCCCCGCCCAGATGAGGACTCCGAGGTCCCAGACGAACACTCCCAGGTCAAAACAGCGACCCCAGACAACACCTGGAGGACCGCGGAGTCATTCCAGAATAGGTGACAAAGCAAACCATAACCATTTATGCATGCAATTTAGACAGCCAGACAATACTCAGATCTTAAATGTAGAGTATAGCTAGCTCGAAGTTCTTTCTAAATTAGCTAGCAACTCGAGGCTAAAAAGTGCCATTTAGAGGCGTAGAAAACAACAGTGACGTGTTTAATTTCAGTACGACAGGTGTGTGATGCATTTCTGGTAGACCAAGTATACCCACTCGAACATCACCCGACTAACTGTGCTCACATTTCATATGTATTTTAATATTTTTTACGTTTACTCACAACTGTCGATATACAATTCTTTATACGCGTTGTTAATGACGTCACGATTGAAGGTAATGTAAGTAAAACAATAGAAATTGCTAATCTGCTTCTGTTGCCTTGTAGCCTTAGGTGTCTCATTTGTTCGTATTCACTTTTTCAAAAAATTATAACTGTCTTAAAACAGCTTCCTTCCTATGTTCTTAATTCATGTTATTTACATGTACTTTTTGTCGAACTAGTCCCTTTTGCATGTCTAAACTTTTCTTCTGTTCGTAAGTTTATATTTTTTCAGGGTTGCATGGCATTTTTTTAATAAGTTAAAACTAATACATTGTCCCTTGCCCCAAATTTAGGGAAAAAAATTACAAAAAAGAAAGTAAAATTTAAGACGGGAAAGAAGACAGGTATGTTTATTATATTGTGTGAAAAGCTACGCATGCGTCATGCTCGTTATAGAAAAGTCGTTTTATGCAAATATAAGCTGAATATATATGTCTATGTACTGTTTTTGTGTTTATTTACTTTGCTTCTTGTATAAACAGGCTATTCCGTTTTACCAACAGTAACACAGTCTATCCTAATTTCACAATACTAGTAAATTTCTATAGTATAATTATAGTGTAAAACTAACTGGAATTAGTTTTAATGCTGTATGTGTGACCTAATCATACTAATAATTTGTCCGTTCAGAACACTTAAAGGAAAGCAGAAATGTTCACACATCTGGAAAATCTCGAGTTATCCACCCTTCCTTTACGTAATCCTCTATCAAAGCATGACCCTAGCTAGTCGGAGTTGTCTAACTTGCATGTGGAATGCACACCATTAAAAGGCACATTTTCAAATTGTCCATCATGTTAAAGTTGTATTGAGATTTGATTTCTTCTTTATCTCGATTTCACATTAATGGAACCCTATATGAGTTTTCTTCACTTTTATTGACCGTAATAACAGTCATTTTGATAACTAACCATTTCTTGTTCTTTTACGATAGGCTCAGTTCGCACATCCGCAGTTCATATATCACAATATTTTCACAATATTTTCATATTGATAGCGTCAGAAGACGGCCAAAAAAGACAGAAGGAATTCTTCCGCGCAGAGTTGACGAGGCTTCAGAAGAGTCTAAAAGACGAATCGTCCAAAATCCACAAACCCAAACAGTGAGTCTGAATTAACAATTGTTCTTATTTAATTGGCAATTAGATGTAGATAATTCACTTAAATTCAACTGTATTGTCGAACTTGAAAGTCTTTGAAAATGACATCATTTTTACTACAAAGTGATAAGTTCAATTTGTATGCCTGTTGGTGCCTTGTAAGAATAACCTAGTTTTGATTGCATCTTGTAAGTTATATATGTCTTTTACATTTTGCAGAAGAGAACACTACCCATTTGTTTGGACTAGTTTGGAACCCTACTATAATACATACGTGGCACGATTCCTTATTGATGCTGTAAGTATACAAATCTCGGTTATGTAACTTACCTACAGTAACTAATCACTCGGATACATAAAGGAAAACCCAACAAATTCCGGATCTAGAATCTCTCAGGCTTAACAACCATTTCATCATTTATTGTTGGTTTACGTTATATTAAAAGCAAAAATCATCTTTTCATATCCTGTTTTCATTACATCTTTTTAGAATAGCCATAAACTTTAAATTAGTTTAGTTTTTATAGTTTTGAATTTCTAATAAAACTTTCATAGCTTTACAGACTTTGCACTTTAAACTTTCCACATTGTAGTATACTTGATACTTGTACATTTTAGCCAGAAGAAGCCATTTTCCACCCTAAAACAAGGAAGGACTTTGTAAGCAAATCTATAGAGGCTTGATTTTATTTCATGTACCTGCGTCTCACGAGACGATGCTGTAGGGCGCTTCTTCTCATTTACCCATCCTTCTCTCCCTTTGCTTTTTGTTGACAAAGATGTTCTATTCTTTAAATAGGATTGTGATCTAGTTCAACACTGCTGTAGAAAACGTGCCGTGAAATGAAATGTTTTTGATTTTCAGTTGGTGTGGGGCACCTTGAACTTTTGGTTATTTACCGTCTTGTGATTGGTCTTTGATGATCATTCCTCTATTCAGCAGGGTGTATATATACATTTTCGCTGCAGACGTACTCAGTGTGTTGTTTTCTTTACAGCCTGAGACAGAGCGACCTCAAACACGTGGTCGTCCGATCAGTCGCGGGAAACTCTATGTAAGATTTCCTACCCACAATTCACAGCACCCGCCATTTTGGTTGTTTTATCTTTAACAGTTTTGACACATTGTAGCACGTAATCATTCAAATTGTTCCAAGGCGATATTACTTGGGTGGATATGGTTTGTACCATAATTTGGAGGAAGGGACATTTAAAATTATTACTTATTCATTTAATTTAATTTTAAGAAGACAGATGTATATGGAAGAAAGTCATTGCCTATTGAAATTAACTTACATTCCCAGATAGCAGGATGTTATTGGACCTTTGTTGGGCCAACAACGCTCCTTATGTTGGGCCACTGTTTGAGTTCAACATTGGGCCATCGGTAATTTGCTCATCGGCCCTTAATCAAACCAACTTGTTGGCTTATTGTTGGGCCAATGTAACAGTTAATATTGGGCCACTGTTGGGCCAATGTATTATTTCAATATTGGGAAAACGTCATTTTTGTACAATTGGGCCATTGTAAGCAACTAATGTTGGGCCAACGGTAATTTGCTCATCGGCCCTTAATCAAACCAACTTGTTGGCTTATTGTTGGGCCAATGTAACAGTTAATATTGGGCCACTGTTGGGCCTTGTATTTTTTCAATGTTGGGCAAACGTATTTTTGTACAGTTGGGCCATTGTAAGCAATTAATGTTGGGCCAACGGTAATTTGCTCATCGGCCCTTTATCAGACCAACTTGTTGGCTTGTTGTTGGACCAACGAACGGACATCATTGAGCCATTGTTGGGCCCACATATTCTTTCAATATTAGGAAAACATCATTTTTGGGCCGAAGTTGGTTTGTATCTTATTGGATCTCCAGCATGACAACTCATTTGCTCTTCACTGGTTGGCCATTTGTCCTCAAAATTGACAAAAAATATATATACAATAAGGTTATACTAGCTTTGTAGTACAGTTTAATGGTATTGAATACTATCTATATATGCTATATATGCTAGATTAATAGTTTAATACATATACTCAATATCTCATAGAATTGCCATCAACAAGTATTGCATTGTAAGTAGCTCTACATTAGTTAAAAAACTGAGGAAAAGGAAATCAAAATATAAAATTAAATTATAACATACTATAATTTTATTGCTCAGTGCATGAAGAAAACATTAATAAAGAATTAAAAGTTGATGCTCACTTCAAGCGATACATGGAGGGTTACATGACTGTATACTCCCTCTCTGATGTACATTATGCACAAGTTCAGTAAATTAAAGGTATCTATAAGCACGTCTAACAAATAAACAAAGCCCTCCTTTTCTTAAAATAATACTAAAATGAATCCCGTCATTTTGTTTACTTACACAAAAAAATGTTTCTGGCATCTGCATCGTGTTTATAACCGACAAACAGACACAAAAAAGGGTAGAACTACAGGTATGTCACACTATATTACAGAAAAAAGTTAGGCACTGTGACTTTCCATCTGATCCCTCTCTTAAGTCTCCATTTCCTCTTCCCGAGTCTCCTCCTCTCTTCTTTTCTTCTCTGTCCGTTTCTTCCTCCCCCATCCCTGTCCTTGGCATACCTTAGCCATTCTTTGATTGTGTTCTCCATGTCTTTTTAGAATCTCCAGTAGCACTAAAATTGTAATATTTGGTACTTAATATATTTGTTACTTTTCTCAGCAAAGAATAAACATACGATTAAATTTACAAGTATATCATTATATGTTTAAGTTGTCAATTAAGGAATAACCGTCTTTTTTGTTTCATGGTGTGATTAAGTGATTAGCTTGCGTGATGAAGGCATTTATGCATAATATTTATACGCTTGATAATCATCATCACAACAAATGATTCAATGTTGCCCCATATAAAGTACATGTATTGAAAATTTGTCGTTACACTGAACAAATTTTAAATGAAAGAACCCAATTTATTTTTAGTACTGAATAAATTTTGTTTTAACTTCAGCAAGTTCAACATTTTCAAAATGTTTGATCATGTACTCGACGTTAAGTGTATGTAAGTAAATTAAGTGGTAGTCTTCGGAAATGTATTCTACTAGACACAAATATCAATTTAAATAAGGAGCAAATTATTTATTGTTTTAACTGTATCAAAACACATTTTTTTACTTTCATTTATTTTTCTTGTATAGAAACAAAAAATTTAATCATTGATAATTTATTTTGTTTTGATAAATTATAAGAATTTTAAATTTATTTTAGCTAGCTTGATTTTTCAAGTAGGATTGGTTGTAGATTTATTTCTGATTGTAGAGACGATCAGATTTGTTAATATACAGATTTGTAACAATTAAATGTTTATACACATTGGCCCAATGTTGGTCCACTATATCGGGCTAACATTGGGCAAATGAGAAAAATGACACTGGGCTAACGTCATTTGCCAACATCGGCCCAATGTTCTTGTTGACATTTTGCCAACAATGTCACATTCATTGGGCCAATGTTGGCGCAACGTTGGGCCAATATCTGTAGAAATAACACTCTACATTGGGCCAACGTTGGCCAAACATATCGGGCCAACATTGGGCCGATGAGCAAACTTAAATTGGGTCAATGCTATTTGCCAACATTGGCCCGATGTAACCGATTACATTGGCCCAACGTTGGCCCAATGTTAGCATGCTATCTGTACAGTGTTGACCCAACAGCACCTGGCCTCTGCACTTCCCCGTGTCTGATTTACACAGATTTGTACATGATATCGTTTAAAAACTAAACGTTAATTCGGCTGTGCCGAGGCAAACATATTATTAATACTTACAAAGTGGATGCAGATATGCAAGGTATCAGTCTCATTACGCTCGTGTCAGATTAAAAATGGCGCGGATATTACAAGTAGCCCGGTTGTTGTCTACCCATGATGCTCAGTCAGATTCATGGTATATTGGGCCAACGTAGGGCCGATGCCAATCCCCAAACAAATATTTTCTCTCATGATAAAAGTATTATGATATAATGCCAACAGTTAGCCCAACATTGGCGCACTATTATTCATAACCAGCTATCAATATTCCATGTTGGGCCATTTGTGGCCCAATCAAGGTAACCCAACATAGATAATAGAACCATAATGTAAGATTGGGCCAACGGTGTTCTGCTATCTGGGTTATTACAAATAAATAAGCATATACACAATTCAAAAACTAGAATAAAACACTCTTTGGTGCTTGATCACTTAAGTGCAAAGTTAAAATGTTGAAAATATCATATCTAAACAAAAGCAGTCATCCAATGATAAGCATGGACATAGAAAATCCTCTTAATTATTTCAGAATGTGCCAACGTTGTCCCAACGTAAAGCTCAGCAGCTAATTATAAAATTGACACCATTAATTAGTTGGCAGTAAAATAATTGGGCCAACGTTGGCCCAATATAAATATACCATCTTTGAAAGACCTAAACAAAATAACACTTGTGTGTATTACAATTTACAAACATTGAGCCAACGTTGGGCCAACATAATACTACCAACTTGATAGGACACGCACTTTAAGGGTGTATTACAAACAATGGGTCAACGTTGGGCCAACATACTACTACCAACTTGATAAGGCACTTTCTTTTAGGGTGCATTACAAACAATGGGCCAACGTTGGGCCAACATACTACTACCAACTTGATAGGACACGTTCTTTAAGGGTGTATTACAAACAATGGGCCAACGTTGGGCCAACATAATACTACCAACTTGATAAGGCACTTTCTATAAGGATGTATTACAAACATTGAGCCAACGTTGGGCCAACATACTACTACAAACTTGATAAGGCACTTTCTTTAAGGGTGTATTACAAACAATGGGCCAACGTTGGGCCAACATATTACTACCAACTTGTAAATACACTTTCTTTAATGGTGTAATATAAACATTGGTCCAACGTTGGGCCAACGCCATGATCCTTCCTTCTTTTGAAACTAAAGTGAATGGAAGTTGCTTACGTTGGACCAACGTTGGGCCAACATAGGATTTCCGTCATGGTCGAGAAGGTTGAATTGGTAACATTGGTCCAACGTTGGCCCAAAGTTGTTCCCCCAACGCCAACCATACAACCTTTAACAAATGTTGGCCCAACATAGTCATGCTATCTGGGTTATTTATTTATGCATTGACAAAATTTAATATATGTATATCGTAACCAAAAAATGATACAACTGAACTCCCATATATACTCATATACAATATATTCCTCTTATTAACAATCCAATTTAGTTTTCTAACTAAAAGAGTAAATGGTGAACTCAAGCATTATTACAAGATATTGCAATTATCATGATGTCAGGCCAAAAACTTTATAACATGGGGGTTACGTTTTCCTTGCCTTATTTAATATAGTATGTTGTGTGATTATCAAGTGAAAGAGAAAAAATAAATTTGAGCACTTTTAATTTAAAATTTTTTTTTAAACCAGAATACGTTTTCTTTAGTATTTTCATTTAGCCATCTTCTAAAAACTCACTTTTAAAGCACGTCTTTTCATTTAAGTTCAGTTAAATTACTGCCATTTCCACGAATCATTCAAAGACATAACATGTCCTTGACCTTACTGTGCTTTAGAAGTAACTGAGCTAGAAATGATTTTCTTTAAATGATTAGTTTTTTAAGTATAAATGCTCTGAAATATATTTTATCTGCCATATAAATTTAACTTATTACATTTAAAAGCTGTTTTGAACACTATAAAATAAATACCCAATGTTGTGGGACACCATGTAAATTTACAGGTTTTCAACAGTGTAAACAGACTATCTAAATCGGCAGAGATGTGAGTACGGTTTGTACTGTTTTTAACTACATTGTACTGTTATTGATACATTGGCAGGCTGAAGACCCCCAGCCCGGCTACGTCAGTAGAAATACAGCCATTGGACTGTGTGACCCGTGGACTGACCTCCGAATGGACCGAGAACTCTTACCCAGGCTCGAGACCCCCACCAAAAAGTCCAGGACACGAGCCATGCAGAAAGAGTCAGTATAAAAAGCTAGATATCCATTTTAACACAAATCAAGAAAATCTTTCGAGCGACGTAATTATGAAACTTTCATAAACTGGATCAAAATTTTTCCATTTATTTGATTGTTTAATTTCATCAACACAATTACGTTTTATCATTTGTTCAAATATTAACTTTTTAACAACTTTTTTGTTAAATCAGTCAAAAACCGAAAAAGAAAGAGAAACCCCCCAAACAAGGAAGCACAAGACTGCCAAAGTTTCCAGTGGTGGATTTCTCTTCCAGCAAAGAGAACGCCACAAAACGGTTCCCATATAGCGAAGTGCCAAAGTTCAGGTAGGCAAAGCCAAGGTTTATGAATGAAATAAATCTCAAATGCATTTTTAATTCTGGTATGTAACTGTAACTTTCATAAGTTCATGCATTTCTGAGTAAGTCACTTAAATAAAGGCAGAAAATTTTTGAAATAGTTAGGATTTTTTCTGTTTCTTTTTCAGACAAGAGGTGATGGGACGCTACAAACAAGATGCGCCCAAAAAGGTGAATTCAGATTACAGCCGAACAAGGGACGATTTCTATCGAATGGATCTGGATCGACTTGATGAAGTCCACCCAATTAACCGCCCGCACATGCGCAAAGCCTATTTTGCATACCTTCAAAATACGCCTGGTTCTAAGAAAGCAATCAATGAGTGTGTGAAGGGACTGAACAATGAACAGGCTCAAAAAGCCAACTGAGAGATCTGCGTGTTCATATAAACAGTGCTAATGTAAAATGAGAAAAATATTGATATTTCTATCACATTTATAAGTCGTGTGTTGAGTAAAAGTCCAGTTTCCCTTAACCGTTTAGAGGACGAAGTACCAGCTATTGATCAGTACAACAGCTTAATGTAATATCTACTGAAGGCATATTGAATATGTAGTGTGTTCAACATCAGAACTTAAAAGATTTATATATTCAAGAGAACTTATTATGAACAGATTGTCTGTGATATATTTAACACTTTTGTTTGAGACATTCATTTGCCTACTCTGAGTTGATTTGCTTCGTCTTTTTCCCTCGCTTTTTACAGGTGTCATTTTTCTAATGTTCACTGAAAAGTGAGCCAAAATATTTTTTGAATTTCATGTAAAATTACATAAGGTTATCTAAATTTCACATTTTTTTCGTTTTCTGATTTTGCATTGACGTTCGATAACTCAGGGTAGAGATTTTATTGTTTTACGAAGCTTACTTTGGTACGTTGACAACACCATGGTAATGAATACTTCAGATCATAGTACTGTTAGCTAGATTTTGTTCAAATTTTGGACTTTTTTTCCAAAACAACTGATATAGTCACAATTTTTCTTTTGTTCGATTCTGAAGCTGGTTTTCTTTTCATTTCCATTGTTACAGGTATGCTTGTGCAGTCATATATTTGTTAACCGTTCACATTCGTAAATAAAGTCAGTAACAATTGAATTACAATTATATTCTCTTTTCTTAAACATGTTCAATTGTTGTTTTTAAAATGAAAAAAATATCAATACATTGATCAATACTCAACTGTGAATAAGACATTTCTTGCCGATCGAGTAGAATTTTGTCTCATAAGTCTTGTAGTTTCTTTATTAGATACTTCGTTTACTGGACATCGATTCCTTCTTGTTCAAGCTGCCCTTTAAGTGTATTTCATACAATCGTATTTACAAACAGGCACTGTGTAATCTAGAAATATCCCGATCCTGAAAGTGAGCTGCAGTACTGCTGACTTGCTTGTAAAAACTGAAACTAATAGGTTAAATTTATCAAATTGAGATCAACCTTCTTTGGAAAGTTTTCCCCTGACTGTCCCAAGCATTTTAGAAGTTATAAAATTCACCTCTCCTTTTAGAAGTCGCTGAAACAGGTTGTTTTTTAATCTACTGTAATTCCTTTAATTCTCTTAATTGCAGCTCTAGTACTACGCTAAATCTTTCCAATCTCTATTAATGGTCTCTTAAATTTTCCACTATTAAACGAAATATCATTGTTTTAGCATCTTTATTTCGAATAATAGACTTGATATGTTAAGTAATATTAAGGAGAATGACGTTAGGGAATGCTTTATTGGAAGGAGGTAACGTCCTCATCCATTAGAAAATTTCTTGACAAGTAACGGTAAATTGATTGAAGTCAGTATTGATCTGGGGAAAAGATGAATTAGTTTGTTATCAGCAGTCTAACAACAGGACTCCTAACATTCTCTTCTTGTACTGGACATAGTTTCATATTTGGATGTTTTGCTGACGATAAAGGTCAACTAAAAACTACATTATTTGACAAACGAGATGGCATCAGTTTTTCCATGGTCAACTTTCCTTATTTATATAATATTCCGATATCATATACATATTCATGTTATATATACATATACATGTTAAAATCCTCTAATTTATTCATTTCTCAAGAGCATGCTCTGGTGCGATAAATAAACTGAAGCATGCTACTCACAGACAAGTTGATGTTACAGGGATATCAACAACTGCTACATCATTTATGATAAAAGTGATACTTTAACTTTTCTATCGTCAACTTCCCGTACTTATGCAGCAATATACCTTCTTCACCTGCATACGGAGTTAAAATCTCTCATTTGATTCGATACGCAAGAGCATGTTCTATGTATGAACAATTTCTAAAAAGAGGTAAATTATTGACAAACAAGTTGATGAAACAACAATATCAGCAGTCTCGTTTAAAGACATCATTTCGTAAGTTCTATGGTCGATACAATGACCTTGTCAGCAAATACAATTTATCATTGAGTCAATGCTGACTGACGGTTTTCATACCAATTGTTAGTCCATTACTTATACACTGAATTGACGATGGATTCTTCCGCAATTTCACGTACATGACAAGGAGCACACGGCGGATGTGACCGGTCGGCAGGGGATGCTCATTCCTCCTTGGCACTTGATCCCACCTCTGATATCTCGGGGGTCCGTGTTTACTCTGCTACTATTTTATAATGTTTTATGGACTTATGATCTTGAATACTGATCTTTTTCTCTATACGTTTCATTAAAGTCAGTATTTCGTAAATGCTATGGTCGTTAAAATGACCTCGTTAAAAAATATAATCACCCAAAATTGGGGTCGTATTTTGGCTGACGTGTATTATACCATAGTTACTCTTTCTTTTTATATGAAATTCGGCTACGGAATGTTCTGTATACCTGATCAATACATGGGACTCACGGTAAGTGTGATCGGTTAATAGGGAAGCTTACTCCTCTTGTACACCTGATTCCCTCTCTGAAGTTTTCGGGAGTTCGTGTTTTAGGCAATGTGAACATATTTTGTATAGTTTGTAGCTTTTTTTAGATCAAATAATGTCCGTTATCTTCACATTTTTCATTAAGACACAATTCGCCTTTCATTTGATTTTAAACTACATTTAAAAAATCTTTACTAATACAAATATAGCACGTTTTAGTAAATGCTCTGACAGGCCTCTTTCTTAACTTCTTAACACGAAAATATTAAAAGTAAGGAAGGGAAATTTTAGCAATAATATGAAACGGCATATTGGACAAGTGGTGTTAAATGTGGTTGCTAAATAATTTGAATGGAAAAATTTGAAATCTTAAAATTGAGCCATTATGCATATCATTAAAGGATATGACTTTTCAATACATTATGCAATCATTAATCATGATAAATCTAAGACCAGGTTTTTGACATCAGAGAAAACTGCTACTTCGATAAAATTTACATTGATTCTCCTCACGAGTACTCGGACAGATAAAAAAAAAGATACAAAAGTTCTATTGAAATATCCGTGCAGTCGTTGAAAACGGGGGTTTCCAATGCATGAAAAGATGGTCACAGAGTCTAAACATTCGACATTAAGATCATGTATGTCAATGACTTTTTCATTTTATCACTGTTCACTCTTCCAATGCCAATCTCTGATGAACTGGTCCCTGCTGACAAAGCAGGTAACAACATTGCCTTCGTTTGTAAGGCTCATTATATAAATTGTATTCCAGAAGAACTTGGGTTTAATTTAACTTATACTTCCCTTTCAAAGGAAGAAATTCTTCAAAATCATATGTCAGTTTTGAGTATTTTTAAGATCCCAAAGAACCAAAATGAATTTATACTATCATATGATATTGGACTCCGAGTCTTCAAAAGAATCCTTACAAAGATACATGTACATAGCAGGTTCTAGTAAATGTTCAAGCCTCTTTCTTTACTCCTCACTAAGATATTAACAGTAGTGAAGGAGAAACTTCAAGAGTACTGTGCAACAATATATTCAAGAAGTGGCATGAATCAGATGTGGATACTTAAAAATTCCAAGGAACTTTTGGACAATTTGAAATCACAATATTTAACCGAAGTCAACAGCTTAAAAACTTACGACTTTTCAACTCTATACACAACCATTTTCCACGATAAATTAAAGTACAGACTTTTTGATTTTGATATCACTGACAGCTGCTTTTACAATTAACATGGAACTCGGTAATTTACTGACCTTGTTTTTGGTCATTTGCAAGATTAGTTTGTTAAAAAAACATTCTGATTGTACATACAAGTACTCTGAAGTTGATATCAAAAGGATGCTCGAGTTTCTGATTGACAATATCTATGTGGTTTTTGGAGACCAGGTCTTCCAACAATCTATTGGAAAAGTCATAACATTTATCAATATGCTTTGTTGTAAGATAACCATTTACGTCTTTTTCTACTAAAAGGTCAAAATATGAAACAGATGTGTCAGACTCTGTGGTATCTTTTATCTCAAGCTTATAAGGATACTAGTATATCGTGTCGACATAAGAATGGAAATAATTATTGTTAATTAACAATACGTCGTCGATATATCTAAATGTCGAGTTGAAGGCCACAGCAAGCGTTTTCTTATTTTCACATAAAAGATTTTGAACAAATTCTGCTTCACATGAATACGTAAATAGATCTGCTAATGACGGGACGGAATTGGTACCAGTGGGAATTTCAATAGATTGTTGGAAGACCTGGTCTCCAAAAACCACATAGATATTGTCAATCAGAAATTCGAGCATCTTTTAATAATAAACTTCAGAGTACTTGTATATACAATCAGAATGTTTCTCAACAAAGTTATTTTGCAAATGACCAATGGCAATGTACTAGTAAGTAAATTTACGAGTTTCATTTTTAATTTTTAAAAAAAAACCCTGCTGTCAATGATGTCAGAAAGACTGTACTTTAAATATTCGTGGAAAAAAGTTGTATATAAAGCTGAAAAGTCGTACGTTTTTATGTTGTTGATTTTTGTAAAAGTTTGTGATTTCAAGTTATCAAAAGTTCCTTGAATTTTTTGAGTTATACCACTTCTCGAACATATTGTTGCACAGTACTCTTGAAGTTTCTCCACTACTGTTAATATGTTTATGAGGAGTAAATTGATTGATTGATTGATTGCATGCTGTTTAACGTCCCTCATTTTCACTCATATGGAGACGCCACCACTTGCCGGTGGATAGCTACAAATTTTGTCCTATACTCGGCACTCAGGGCCACTGAGCAGACAGGGATCTTTTTCTAATGTCGATACAATACATCCTGTGTGGGGAGCTTGAAATAAAAGATACCACAGACTCTGATATATCTGTTTCATATTTAGGTATTTTATTTGATTGATTGATTGTATGCTGTTTATCGTCCCTCTCAAGAAGTTTTCACTCATATGGAGAAGCCACCACTTGCCGGTGGAGAGCAACAAATTTTGTTCTATATTCGGCACACACGGCTATTGAGCAGTGAAGGATCTTTTTTCCCGCCAGTACCTACTGCGACAAGGGACCTCTGTTTATACTGTGAATCATATGGAGATAACAAACAGTATTAGAGATCAAAATTCCATAAAACAATACAAAATAGGAGCAAAACAAACAAGCCAAAGCAATAGAGGTGGGATCAGGTGCCATGGAGGTGTGAGCATCACCTGCTGACCGTCACACCAGTCGTGTGCTCATTGTCATGATCGGGAAATAACGGGAAAATCCGTCGTCACTTCAGTGTGTAAATAATGGAATAACACTTAGTATGGAAACTTCAGTCAGCATTTTGACTCAATGATAAATTGTATTTGCTGACAAGGTCATTGTATCGACCATAGAACTTACGAAATGGAGACTTTAAACGAGACTGCTGAAATTTTTGCTTCATCAACTTGTTTGTCAATAATTTACCTTATTTAAGGAATTTTTCAAACGTAGAGCATGCTCTTACGTATAGAATCAACTTTAATATAAACTTAGTATAAAGATGATGAAGGTGCTGCATAAGTGAGGGATGTTGAAAAAAACGATTGAAAAGTTAAAGTCATAACGTTTATCATAGAGCTTGGTTGTTAGATTACCATTAATGTCTTTTTCAAGTAAAATATCCAAATATGAAACAGATGTGCCAGACTCTGTGGTATCTTTAATCTCAAGCTCACATGG